AATAAATACTGAGTGGAGAATTTAAAATTTGAATATCCATAATATCATTTAACAAATACTTTGTCAGAGTTTGTTGTAACTTTTAATTCTTTCTGTAAATGTTTTATTCTAGGTACACTTTGTTTATAGTATTGTATCCAATGGGAGTCTCAGGCGAATTACTCACAATATATGCTGCATTACCCTTCGTCAGGCAGTCTGGCTTGTATTCCATTAGTTTACCTAACAAGTACAATTTCTCTTTTGACTACTATACATTCTTGATCCTGGTTATGATCTCTTACATTCCAAGTAAGTATGAATTCGTTAGGTTTTTTAGTATTACTAGCTGTAATGGAAAAGCTAATAATTGTGGGATTAACATACATATAACTGATTTAGGCTGTTGATGACCTTGTTTAATTTTTGTACGGTTCACAAAGGTTGAATGCCTCATGGAAATTTTAGCTTTTGCTGTTTATGTTCCGTCCCCTACTTTGTTGTTCTGCAAACAGACTGTGTAATGTAATCTTAGAAACAAGAGGAGAAAAGGCTTTGCGTGGAGGACAGAGAGAGAAAAGAGGCACCAGTTCATATAAAATGACATATATTCTGAAAAAGCAACACTAGAATTGCAAGAAATGAAACAAATTTGGAAATTTCATGCTTTTGGAAAGGCTTTTTCCTCCCTGCAATCATTTTTCTTTCTGTTGTGTGCGTGTCATCTACTTGTACAGGCAGAGTTAAATATGGCATTTTGCATTTCATTAAAAATGTGATTGCTCTAGCAAAAATAGATAATACCTGAAGCCTAAGAATCATACCACTTCTTTAAAGTGTAAAAGGCAATAGATAACTTGAGCAAAAAGTGGATAAGCATGTTCTCTTTTAATGGAGAACTAGTGACCTTGGCTGTGTGAATCTGCATCTCACATTGACTTGCAAACCTCGCTTCAAACTTTATTGACCTGAATCTGTTTTCTCTTCAGTCTTTCCTCAGCTGTATTTTCATATGCTACACCAGAGGCGAAAGGTACTCTCCCACACTGAAGAACATAGGAAGTCGGAGTAATTCCAACACTTTTTCAGAACTTTTCAAACATCAAAATGCTGCAGTTTTTCAATACCCAGCACATTTGTAAAGAATATACCAAGATAAGTCAGAGGTAAAAGACCAATAATTTAGCAAGAATAACCAATAAATCTGATTCCACTGAAATACCAAGTGTAAAACATTGAAATATTTTCAGCTTACAGTGCTTCAGAAAACTTTTAAACTTTATATGGCTTGGCAGTTAACATTTTCCTTAAATGATGTGCTAAATGATTTTCATTTATTATTAAATGCCTGAAGGTTGCAGTATGAGTGATGAAGTTGTACCCACTAAATGCCTGAATTGGGATTATATTACCAATACCTCTTTTTTTTAAGTGCTTGACTGCATGCCAGAAACTGTATGTATTGCTGTGAAAGCAAACAATATGCTCTGGATTATTTCAGGATAATGTCAGAGACTTCAGTGGAGAATGTAATCTGGCCAAAGTGTTTGAATTTAGAAAGGTAGGTTGTGTATTTAAAAGGTGACGGGAACAAGAACAAGAAACCAATTACAGGAAATGAGGGGAATGTAGTTCTTAAGGAATTTAAACAGTACAGTGTCTGACCAGAGTGTGTTCTCTGAAGATCTTGTTTAAGCTGAGTACACAAATGCAAATGTTAATTCAGAGGCTGTAATGCTTATCTGAAACATTAAAACTCCTTTTAATTACTGCATCCCTGGATACTTTTTTACATATTAAAAAAAATTTAAATTAATACTAACTATAATATTTCTAGTGATACCGGTAATGAATCTAAACAAGATAAGGAGGCAAGTCACCAGAAATGTGTGCAGTTCTCCCTTTTTTACTTAAATTATCATCTTTAATCACTGTCAGTGATACTCATCTTTCAGTGCGGAGGACTATTTGGTCTGCTGTGGAATTATCTGGGGGCCTTGTTTCTCAGCCTAACTTTTCTTAAGTGACTGGTGTGTATCACTGTGGCACATTCAAGCAGGCAGTTCCAGGCACTCAACTTCTGAAGTGTTGCAAAGTCATAAGCTGCTCTTTTGAAAACAGATTATCTCATGTGTTACATGCTGCTTTTGCAGACTGGACAAGCCTTTCGTCATCTGTTCTCTTGGAAGAGTGGAAGAACACAAAGTTATATTTTCCTCGGTGCTTCCTCTGGGTTCTCTGGCTTAGCTTTCCCTTGGGAAGGTAAAACAGAGAACAAGAAAGCCTTGTAGTGAGGCAGAAAGCACTAATGCTGTGTGAGAAGTGCCCCAGGTTATTAAGAAACTTTTGACGGGGCCAAAAGGGTAGGGAATGGAAGGGGCAAAGGGAGCAGGGAAATGAACAGATACCCAAGCAAAGACAAAAGGAAATGTAGGTTATGGCCTTTGCTCTGTTAGGAATTGATAGCCCAATAGTGTTGTGTGAACCCAGTCAGGGTCACTAGACACCACCACGTGGGCTTCTCTGGCTTCCCTCTTATAACATTATGATTTGGTGCATAAATGAGGTGTGACCCGTACCATGCTACCTGCACTACTGGGCTCGTGCTGTGCCTGCCAGCACCTCCCCCTGGATGTGCTCAACACATCCCAGCTCTCCCTAAACACTGCCAGTAAGTACTGAGGGCACAGGCTTTCTTTTCTAGCACTTGGGAAGAGCTGAATTTACAATTATTTAGGTTTATGCTTGTCAGAGCTATATTTTTTAAAAAACTTTGCATTTTTCAGTAATTTTCTTTGATTCCATCAAAAGGTCTGAATTTTCCTAATTCTCAGTATATAGCACACTTCCTGTTTAGACACAAACAGGGCTATAATAAGCAGAGAGAGGGTAAGAAACAATAATAATCTTTGCTTCTATTTTAAACACTTTGGAGCCTATTATTGACTATTCAAAAATACAAGAGGCTGTACCAAGGTGGGTGTTGGTCTTTCCTCCCAAGTTACAAGTGATAGGACAAGAGAAAAGTGCCTCATGTTGCACCAAGGAAGGTTTAGATTGGATATTAGGAAAAATTTCTTCATCAGAAGGGTTGTCAAGCACTGGAACAAGCTGTCCAGGGAAGTGGTGGAGTCACCATCCCTGGAGGTATTTAAAAGAAGTGTAGATGTGGTGCTTAAGGACATGGTTTAGTGGGACTTTGCAGTGTTAGGTTGGACTTGATGACCTTGGAGGTCTTTTCCAACCTAAACAATTCTGTGATTCTCTTACTGTGGCCATATACAGCCTCAGACTGGTTTTGGATTCGAAGATGCAACAGTTCAGTTAATTTCTGCATTAGGTTATGTGCTTTGTTGTAGTCATCTGAGAAATGTTACATTATACTGAACTGTTTGAAAGTGTAAATTTCCACCTCCGAACAAAACATCTTTTGCTTATACTTGCTGTTAAAGAAAGTGATGTCAGTATTTCTGAAGGATGCCATCTAAAAGATCTGATTTCCTGATGTACTTAGGTTATTGGATATTGTCGATGCTCAGCTCCTGAACTTTCTTAATTTGATTTCTGGGCCCAAATAAAAGATTTGGTTTCAAATTTGTTGGTCCAATTTGGAGGAAAAAAAATGGCTGTGTAATACTCCAATATGAAACAAACTGCTGGCTCTGCTGATGAGAAAGATATAGTCCAGATCTGTGTACAGTACAATCAGATAGCACTGGCACCATGGAAAAGCAGAGCGTGCTGCCAGTAGGGAGGAAATTTGTACAACCAACACCTTTACTGAATAAGCTTTATCACGGAATATTTACTTTAACTGAAAATATTAATTTACCACACAAATGCAAATAAACTGCAGACTTTTAAAAGAAATTGCTTTGCTCGTATATCAGCAAAGTTGATTTATAAATTATATTCTGAAGTATGAACATGCAGTTAGTATGTACAAAAATTCAGCACTTCATCTTGCAGTGCTTTTTCAAGTTTATCTTCCATGGAAATCACTGGAAGGTGATCTTGAGTGAGAACTGTAGTGTGATGCCCTAATCCTCTTTGGGTTGTTCCTATTGACTTTGGTCACACATGTGGGGTTTTTCCTCATAAAATAAGAAATTTCCCCTCATCTGTCACTGAAGTGGTAATGTGATTTGTGTGAACTCTGTAACAGAAGCTTTGATTGGTACTGTTTGTCACAAATGTAGAGGGTTTTATTTTCCCCACAGACTATTTACTTAGCTTGCATGTTCTCTATCAGCATATCCAAACCAGCAGGCGTTCTCTGCTTTGGTGTCTCTGTTGTGTGCACTGGTTCAGTTGACAGCACTTTATGTTCTACCATGCTGGCTTTGTCTGAGTTAGTCACTACCCTCTAAAAGACCAAGGCTCTTACCAGTGTATAGTTTACAACTGGAATTGTAGAAATGTTCATATTGTAAATTACAGTAAAATGCAGGTTACAGTGCAGATAAATTGTAATTTTTCACAATGTGATGTTTCTATTAAAGGTGGGGTTTTTTGTTATCATAATGAAGGTTGACATTTGTGTGGACCAATCTGCAGTGTCATTTGAAAACCTTTTTCAGCTTAAAATTTTCATGAGTATACATCAAATCATGCATTTTGATGTATATGTCAGTGAAATTTGGGTGAAAACTATATACAGTCATTTTTGTATTTTTTTCTATGTTGTGAAGAATAAAATTGTAATTTTATAAGTCTGATTCACTAAGATTATTATAAGTTAAATGTATTTTTTGTATATTTAGGAATCTGATATTACCTGGAGCTCTGAAAGATGAAGCATAGACTTTTTATGCATGGTTGAAAGATATTTCAACTTGATAATGCAGTGAAATGGTTGGTATGCTAAAATACTAGTCTGTGTTGTTGCCTTGTGAAATTGATTCTGTGCTCTCTGCCTGGACTTGGCCTACTGATCAGTGATACTAATTGCTATAATCCAAATAAAATCATTCTGAACAAAATACGGTGTACTGTTACTGTTTAAGGAACAAAAGCAGATATTTTATAAATGTGAATTAGGACTGTATTTTTATTCATTTGTATATAACGTGTACCTTGCAATTGACAAGATTTTTTTAGCACATGTAACTCTGGAGCTCAGGCAAAAGAATTAGGAAACTTCATACTGTTATGAAAGCTCTGCCTTTCACTTTCAGAAGAGGTACTCATAACAACACATTAACTGTGTCAGCACTCAGACTTACAGCTTCCTGAAGGATCCTCAATAGAATGTGAGCTCTTTGTTCCCCTGTTGTCATTTGTAGTCTGGATGCTGATGGTTTTCTACAAAAACAAAATCGTTTGAGTATTATAAATATAGTGGAATGCTTAACTAATGCAATGGAATACTTCAGAGTTCATCTACTAAATATAATATGTCTGCTACCACGGCAACGTTCTTAGCATTTTTAACACTTCCTGGGAGAGATTTAAAAACTGTGTCTAGATGGCATTAGTGCTTATGAATAACGAGTTATAATCCTCTAATAGGAACTGAGTAGTAGTTGCAGAGTGAGTGCTATTATTCTGGCCATATGCTTGTCATAAGATTGCACAACTACAGTGATTTTTTTGTTGATTGCAGCCGGGATGAACTGATGTTGTCGTGCCCAGCATCAGCACATGTCCTACGCATGATGGCTGTGACTTAGCACTGCTGTGTAATTAAAAACTCCTCTTTGAAATGTTACTCCGTGAGTGGTGGTGCCGGGATCTGTTCGTGCCTTAGAATAACTTCTGCTGGTTATTTGGGTTTCCTCTTTGCATTTTGAAAACAGTATGTGTGGAAACAGTTCTAGTTCCCTAAGGTAACATTATAAAGTATGAACAGCAGAAGGACTCTGTGTTTGCAAGCAATTTAATATCACAATAGTACATAAGGCTCATCTTAAATAAAGCACTGGCAGTTCTTGACATTAAGACTTGAGGAAGAATCTGTGCTGGTGTGCTGAGTATAAAATAAAAAGATGTGAATATCTGTATGATTCATTTGGTATGAACTGAGCATTTCTACAGTTGGGATTGATTGATTCAAACCACCCAACTGCTTGGGACTTTGGCTCAATATCAAGTAGCTTTTAAATTCTGCTTCCCATCTCCTAAACAGATACTCTTCCACACTTGTCAGAAGACTTCTAAAAGTAGTAAGGGAATTAATAAAGCTTCTGAAGGCTACCTTTGAAACAGTTGGAATTTCAGATGTGGGTGGAAAATTTAAAACTCTTAATACTGTTGATCTCTGATCTCCAGAATAATACTTTACAGATGGGAAAGAGCCTAAAGCCCTTTTTATGTCTTCACAAATTAATTGGGCATTAATAGTGTGAGAGGTGTGTTTTTCTCTTTGATGTGCTGACATGGATAATGTGCTAATATTAGGGAAAGAGATGTTCCTGTCAGTATTATATCTTAATTTTTCTAGTGGTTTAAGTAGATGCATATTATTTCAATATTCCACTATAAAAGCATAATTCACAATACATAGAAACACTTCCATGTGTTGTACAAACTCATGTTGTACGAACTCAGTGTCACAGCAAACTGCCTCTCTGTAGATTAAATTTATTTCATATAGTTTATACATAAGAATTTGACATTGCCTGGTACTACATGAGGATGATATTATTGGGAAAGTCTTTGGTGGAAGTTTTTGCAAAGGCCTATTCAACTGAATTGCACATTCTCCTGTCTTTTTGACTCCTGCTACAGACAGTCTGCACAGTCTTCAGTGAACTGTTATCACTTGCAACAAGGGTACATTAAAACTTTATTCCAACAGCTGAACTCACAGAATCATATTTACTGTGTAATCTACATTCAGCCTCTTGGGTAATACAGTGGGTTAGTCTCATTCTACAGAGTGATAATCTGAAGAATATATAGAGAGAGATAGAGGCATTTCAGGTATCTTCTTTAAAATTAGTTGTAAGTTGATGTCAATTTAAAGGTCAGCCCTATGTTTTTTTTCTAGCACACCTACAGAAAATATCAGTTGTGGAGAGGATATAGGAAGTGGAGAACCTTCCAATCAGCCTAACCCTAGGTTGCTTTTATGAAATCAGTTTGCCTGTTAAAGGTTTCTTTGGGTAAAAGACAACCTCTTCACTTACTGGATAAGAAAAAGATACTGAATGCTGGTCTTCTCCGCTAAATGACAGTCAAAGAGATGAGATGGAAGAGGAGAGGTACTGGAGGATACAGAGCTCTACCACTGTGCTTCCCAAAGAATATTTAAGCATTGACAAAACACAAAACTTTCCTCCTTTTTCTTTTTGGTATCCAGTAGTAGTTGTTGTTGGGCGTGGGGTGTTGTTATCTGGCTTTGGGTTTTTGGCTGGATTTTTTTTGTTTGTTTATTTTTAAGGGAGAACAGCAGCACTTAATGGAGATGCTGCAATGTTTTGTCTGGTGCGCTGATGACATGAAGTTCCTTTTATTCTTCTCCAGGTGTTTATTACAAGATTATGGGGAACTGGATGCACTGGCTTAAGTGCTTTGTTTTAGTCCTCTGTTCCTGTGTATAAACTACTGGGAAAGTTGCTGGTTTGAGAGTATTAAATATGTTTCCTTACCCAGCTTTTTGGTGCAATTTAAATTAAGTAAACAAAGTACTTTGTCAGCAGGCTGGAAGAGTGGAAAAAGCTTTCTTGCATCAGCAAGAAAATGGATGTGAAATTGAAAGTCAGACATTGCTGGTTGGTTTACTTAGTAAGACTGGAAATTACCAGTTTAACCCTACCAGAATTAAACTGTACAATCTGAAAATACTGAATTATTCTTCAGAAAGTATTGTCAAGTCAAAGAATGTGTGGAAACCTGCTCTAGGTTTACAGGTGCTTTCAAAAAGGGGCAGAGGTAAGCATTCATGGACTGCTGTGCTCCAGGTTCCTGGTGATGCATAATTACACATCAGGCCTAACCTTGCCAGATTTTGAAGAAATAAACTGCTGATAGAAAGATGTAAAACTACTACAGACCACTGTTGTTAAAAATCATATGATTTAGTTATTCTTAGTTACATGTTTTAAACTGATACTTGTTTGCAGAATAAGCTATCATTGGAGCCCTATGATATGAATTCTTTGGAATAAATGTGATGTACAATGTATTGTTATCTCTCCATTGTAACTGTGTAACTCAGAATAACTTTTCAATAAAAAAATGTATGGTTTTGTATATTTTTATTCAAGCCTGACTTTCTCATGAAAACTGATTGGGCAGGGTTTTTTCTGGCTGATTTACCTGTTCTTGACTGGGACTATAGTCACTAAAAAATACTAGCAACATTTGAAAGGAGGGTAGAGGTGTCGGAGGAATTCCCCCAACTTGTGCCTGCGTTTAGCTCTAGATCATCTACAGCAGGTGCTAATCTCATGTCTAAGTAAGTGAGAGGGGTGGACTGAGAAAATAAGATGAAAACAATTGAGTCTAAATTTTGCTAGTCATGTGCACAGAATAACATTTTTCCATGCACCCTCTTGAGGTTCCTTCATTAGTAAAGTATCAGTCTGGGTTTTTTCACGGCAAATTTGATGGACAAAACCGCCTGGCTCTGGGCCCTGGTTTCAGGTGTACTAACTGTGGGTGTCAGGGTAGTGGAATTTGATAAGTTGCTGGTGTACTCAGTTCTATAATGACAAGTTCTATTACGTACTTTAGGGATGTGTGACCTTAACTGTTGGTGCCCCTTAACTATTTGGGCTTGCACTGCAGATAAATACACTACTTGTGTAAGTGGGACTTCAGACAGCCTCGCTACAGCTTGTGTAAAGGTATTTGATAAATAGCTTAAAACTGTAGCTTATGTGCCTAAAACATAAATGTTCTGCTCTGAGCTTCATACAGGCTCCTGGCGTCTACTTGGTACAAACATTCCTGTCCTATCGTGTCCTTTGCTGTTATCCACAGGTGAGCTAGCAAGGCTGAATGCTGAGTAGGTAGATGTGCTACAGGTAACAAATGAACTGCTGTGTTCACATTCTTTGTCCAGAACTGGAATCCTTGGCTGCTTTTTTCTTATTGTCAGGATTATGTGAAGTCTCTGTGAATGACCACATGAATTATTTGTGTTATGGTGAATTCCACGATACAATCCTGTATTGGAAACATGCACATGCATGTGTTACAGATCTGCATCCCAGCTTTGCCTGTACTACACAGCATGGACATGCAGATATATTTTATTTCTATGTTTGGGATGAAATATTGTGGGTGCTGCTGTGAAAAGGCTGATAAACCTGATTCAGTAAGCACCTTGTCTTGCTAGGCTTCTGTGTACCTTCCCCTAAAAAAACCCCAAAAGTCAGTTGTGAGTCAGGTTGTTTTGGGTTGGGCTTTTTGTTTATTTTTTTAAGTCACTGTGGTTTTGTGTTTTCAGTTTTCTCAGTTTTGGTTCTATTCCTTGTGAATCATCAGATTATTGGGGGGGGGGGGGTGTAGCAAGAGAATTTACAATAGCAGCTCGTTCAGTTTAAGTATTTCATGCCTCCAAGTTGGATCGTGTGATTGTCTCTGGGTTTCAGAGGGCTGCTTTGGATTATGCAAAGATAGTCAGTGAAAGGGCCAAGAATCTGTTTTATAAAAGTGTCACTAATTTAGGGAGCATAGATATTTTAAAATTCTGGATTTAATACGTCCATAAATCTTGTAGTGCATGAAGGCCATGAAGAGGGAAATGTCACATGGGTATTCTGAGGTCACTGGATGTTATTCCTCATTTTAAGTAAATAATGGAAAGAAAGAATGCTAATGTTTATCTACTGCACCTGTTGTAATAATAATAAAGTGAAAAATGTTTTTATACAAGTTTATGAGGCTACACGTGAAATCAGAATTCATGTGAATTGTTTGTGTGTTGAAGAAGTTCAGATCTGCTTCATGTAGCTCTCTGTTGTTTCCCTCATGCCTTCTTGAAAGTTCTTGTGGAGTTGACATAATTCTAGTGATTTTGTGCTGGTGTTCTCTAAATCTTCTATGTGCCTACCTACATTTAGGTATTTTAATGAGAGAAATACTTTTTGAAAAAGAAGCAGGGTTCGATTTTAATCCAAAATTTGATCAAGACATGATTGAAGGTACTGAATGAAATTTTGCCCAACTGCTCCTCCCTCACTGCCCCACCTCCCCCCCCCAAAAAAAAAAGCTTTTACAGTGGGGCAAGTAGAATTTGGGAAGGCTAGGCTAGACTGGAAGGTGGAACATTACCCTTTCTGAGGAAGGAATAATAAGTTTCTCTGTTTTGGTACTACACAGTCTTGTGATATTTGTGTTTGTTGATCTACGAACAAAGCAAATAAATATTCTCATTTTACAGTTTAGAATACAAAGCACACTTGTATTGATTAAGGTCATCACTGTTTGTAAATAGCCATGTTGGGACTGAGATACAGAAGTTCATCATGTGTCCTTTGCAGTCATTCTTCAGAAAATGGCTGAACTAAGTTGTGAAAGGAAAAGGTAGCTCATATCCATGTATAAATTATTAACAAAAAATAATTGCCTTGTAATGTTGCCTTGAATGTTCTTGTAATAAATGTTAGGCATTTTTAAATGAGTTTACAGCCATTCAGGATATGCTGTGGTTTTGTCATACCTTACTGCCATTTATAATCAGGTTCCTGAATTAGAAACAAGACCCAGAGCTGGAAGAAACTGCATATTAGAAAGAAAGGTGTAGGTAAAATGTCCATAATCTGTATCCTTAGTATTACAGTATTGTACTCATTACCTTTTTTCTACTACCATTCTGACATATGAGATCCAGTAACATGTTCACCTGGAAGTAGGCATTAGATTTAATATTTTTAGTATCTTACATCTTCTTTTTCATAGCCCTATATATGTCCTCATTGTGTGAAGTACCTGATTAGTTGGCACTACTCTTAGCTTCTAATACAGCATCCTTGCTGTTTTCACCAGTTATGGATTGCCTGCAGAATCTCTTCCAAATGCACCTTTCTTTAAATGTGACACCTCATATTTACCTGTTTTTAAAGTTACAAACTTTCGGTTTCCTCTGCAGCAAGGACAAAACTTTTTTCCCTTTTGGCTAATGAATTTTTTTTAAAAAAACCCCTAACTTTAATGTCTTCAGCTTCAGCATCAATTGTTGTAACATTAGAAAAAAAGTAAAACTATTCATAGGTCAAACAATGACATAGTGAAAAGAAACATGTATGATACTCTAGAATTGAAACTACTCTTCTCTGGTACCTGTATATGTAAACTTTCTGGAGGAGGGGCTACAGCTTACTATACCCTGGAATCCTGCCTAGGATTCAGGCTTCCAGAGGCTATCATGGTGCAAAAGCTAAGTAAGACTTAGTCTCAATGGTGAAACATGAGAACCTTAAAATTACTTGGCCTGAGCAATGCTTTGTTGATACCTAGAACTAAATGTAGTAAGATGTTGATGTTGAATGTGCTTGGTTCTTACACATGCCTTCATAGTATTTTTCTGTCAAGCAGAATTTTAGACATCAAGTTGTTGTGCATCACCTTTCTCTCTTTACTTGTTTTTACAGTTGTACATTTTTGTGAAAAAGTGAGACCTTTTACTCCTGGCTTTGAGAGAAGAACTCCAAAATGGGACTTTGTGTACAAAACAAAAAGACTCATCCCAATTTACGACTCACTGAAGAATCGTTTCACTGTCTTCATCCCTAGAGTTCAGGCACTGTGCAGCCAGAGTAACCGACCACACAATTCTTGGGTTTTGTTCTACTCGAGTAGATGAAAAGTAGCGTATGGATAGTGACAGTGTCGTATAATATCCCAAGAAAAGATAAATGCCATCTGAAAGACAGTGGTATTTATATATAAAAATGTCTCCTCGTGGAAAGCAAACTGTGAATGCAGTCTTGATCAGCTGCAGTATGTAGCATCTGGCAGGAAAATGCCATGTAAGTGAACATCATGGTATAATAGTTGTGTGCAATTTTTAATTAAAATCTTTACTCACTCCTGGTGAGTAAAAGATGCTCTGTGGAAGCAGCTGCTGAAAATTCAGCATATGGTTTTGCAAATGCACAAAGGCCTGTGTTGCTGTAGTTTGTGGAGCTACTTGCACGTGTAAAGGACACGTGAAGGGCTTGTGTTTGGAACTTTATCTGTTTTTTTTCCCAACTGTAACCACCAATACAGCCTCTCTACAAACCTTGCTTATCTCTGTCACTTGATAACCACAGCTTCAGCACTACTACTGCTAAGGACTACTTGTGAGCAGGGATTTTCAGTGTTTGAACAAACATCTAGACAATTACCAGTTTCAGCTACTTAAGCGAAGCAGTTATCTGATTTGACAGTTTGCTTTTAATAAAACGTGATGCAGAACATCAAGCAATATTATTCTTAGTACACATGATGCTTACCTTCATAACACTGTAAATCATTAATTAGCTCGCTTGCATCTACAGAAAGAGCGGTTCACGTGAAAGGACACTGTGGAGGAGCCTGGGGTTTGAAACCTCCTGGGAAGTGCCGTGGTCCCCTCACCATGCCCCCCCCCAGGTTAGGGAATATGCCCTCCAGTGAATCGGTGTCACAGCGCTGCCGGGCCGACGTGTGGGCTGTAGCTCAGGTGTTTGAAAAAACAAGGCGAATCTAAAAGCCCGCGTGTGTATTGCAGCCTCAGTCGCTCTGTTAAGGGAGGTCCAGTGACAGGTGCTGAGGTGGAGGGAGGTTTCTCTGCGGTTTATTCTGTTCACCAGTTTGGTCACCGGTGTTTGATGTTGCCGCGTCTGTCAACCCGAGCAGGAGGCAGCTTTCCCCTACACGACAACCCAGGGGCAGAACACGGAGACAGCCCCGTTCGCCTCCCAGCGTGGAGCCGATCCCGGTCCCTGGGACGGACCCCACCCCTGGGACGGACCCCGCGGGATCCCCTCAGGAAGCGCCCCGGGGGGGCGAAGGGGTTAAGGACGCCCCGCCCCCCGGGCGCGCGCATTGGCGGGGCGGCGGCGGCGGCGGCCAATGGCGGCGCGCGGCGCCGGGGCCGCGCCAATGGGGGCGGGCGGGGGCGGTGCGGCGGGCGCGCGGCTGAATGGGGAGCACAAAGCGGGGCCGGGACGCGCCGCCGCCGTGCCCGGCAGAGCCCCGCACCGACACCGCTCCGCTGGAAGCGCGGGGAGGCGGCGCCGGGACCCCGCCTCGGTTTTGCCGGTTTTTTTTCCTTTTATTTTTTTTTTCTTTCCTCTTACCCTTTAGGTCTGCCGGTTTCTCCCCTTTTCCCCCCCTGTGCCTGTGGAAGAGGCGCTGCGGCCGCCCGAAGGCACCGCGGCGTAGCGGGAGCGGCGGCCGTGTGCATGAGCAGCGCGTTTGCCGCCGGCCGTGCCTTGCCGCCGGGACTCCGCCGCTGGGAGGCGAGGCGAGGCGGGAGCGCCGCCGCAGCCCGGCCCGCCCCGGGCATTCCCCCCGCCGCGCCCCTCGGGCAGGGGATGCTCCCGCTGCCGCCGGCTGCCGCATCCCTGCGAGCCTGAGCCTCCGCCCGCTCCCTGCCGACCGGCCCGCGGTGAAGCGCCCGCCTTGTGCGCGGCCCCGAGCGGCGGGGGCCGGGCGGGCGCGGTGCGGGTGCGCTGCGATGCGGGTCCCCCGCGGCGCCCCGAGCCCCTGCGGCCGCCGCCGCGCGGCTGAGGGCGAGCAGCCGTGAGCCGGGGGTGCCCCGGGACCCGCGGTGCCAAGCGCGCTCGGCGGTGTCGAAGCGCCGGGGCCGGCGATGGCGCTGCCCTGAGCGTCCCGCCGGGGACACCCCGGCTCCGGGGACGCCCGGCTGCTCCGGAGACTTTGGGGGCGTTTGCGGGTTTTGCCTTTTTTTTTTTTTCTTTTTTCCCCTAAACTTTTTTTCCCTGCCCGCTGCCTTTTGGTGTCTTTTTTTTTCTCGTCCCCCGCTCCTTCCCGGCAGTTGTCCCTTCGCCCGCGGCCCCGTCCCTTAGGGCATGTCCCGGTCCAACAGCGTGAGCCCCCCGGGCTTCGGCGGTCCCGCGCCCTGGGCAGGCACCGAGCAGCACCGCTCGGCCTGGGGCGAGGCGGAGGCCCGGGCCAATGGCTACTCCTACCCGCCGCCTCCCAACAGGTCCTCGGGCAAGAAGGCCTCCCGCATGTCGAGCAGGTGGAGGAGCGAGGAAGACTACGAGCCCCGTAGCCGCGGGGAGAGCGGCTGCAGGATGATGAGCTTTAGGTCCAAATCCGCCTGGCAGGAGCACGGTGACGACAGCCGACGTCACCGGTCCCGCCACCCGCCCGGCAGTGATTCCCCCGCTGCCCCCAACAATGCCAGCCCTCGACAGCTGGGGGAGCAAGGGGAGGTGCGGCCCCGCTCGGTGGAGCTGGGGCTGGAGGAGAAACGCATTAAGGCCAAGATTGATGAGCTGGAGGAAGAGGACGGGGACGAGGGGGACTCCGAGGCGGCCTTCTCCATGGGCAGTTGTTGCAGTAGCCTGCTGCAAATCTTCAGGTCCAAGAAGTTCCAGTCTGAGAAACTGGAACGCCTCTACCAGCGCTACTTCTTTCGGCTTAACCAGAGCAGCCTCACCATGCTCATGGCCGTGCTGGTGCTGGTCTGTGTGGTCATGCTGATCTTCCATGCGGCGCACGGCCACTATGAGGTATCCTACGTCGTGGTGCTCTCCCTGGCCATCCTGCTGATGGTGGTGCTGTGCATGGTGTGCAACCGCAACGACTTCCACCAGGACCACATGTGGTTGGCATGCTACTCTGTCATCCTGGTGATCCTGGCCGTGCAAGTGGTAGGGGTTCTGCTGGTGTGGCCCAGGAGCGCCTCGGAGGGCATCTGGTGGACCGTCTTCTTTATCTACAGCATCTACACACTGCTGCCCGTGCGGATGAGGGCCGCGGTCATCAGCGGGGTGGTGCTCTCCGCCATCCACCTGGCCGTCTCCCTCAAGATCAACGCAGAGGATAAGTTCCTCCTGAAACAGGTAGGCAAGCCCTGAGTGGTTTGGGTGTGCGCTCAGCATTGAAGGGCGAGGGAAGCCGTGTTGTCTGACTTCCAAGGCCTGCCTGATGCGGGAAGGCTGACAGGGCTTTCAGTTGAACCCCTTGGTTACCACTGCCGAGTGGGATGTTGTCCACTGTGGTAGACGCCCCTGTTCTCTTGCTTTTTTCCATAGCTTTGCTGTTTTCTCATTCCTGCTAAGTTGAGGCTCTAAAAACATATATAGAACCATGTGCCTAACTGGTTTTCCCCATGACAGCGCTCCAGCAATGTCAGCAGCCCTGCTCATCCCTTCCGCGGATTTAATGTAAAACCAGCTTGGATACGCCAAACCCGTGAAGGATCGCGTTTGCTGCCATGTTACTGAGAAATGTGTGGAGAGTCTGGCTGTTCTCATGAGCTAGAGGTTATCCTTGTGTGTCACTCTGCGTTCACGTCTGGCTTTCATGTCATCGCAGCGCTTGGTTCGTCGGAAAGCATACTCCTCGGGATGTGGGATAGGCTTTTGGTTTAGCAGGAAGGTGTTTTGCTCTAAGATGTGCTGGAAATATCTACAGTGAAGAAGCCCAGAGTTCATATACAGCCAGAAAAAAAAGTATGGCAAAAGTGCAAATGCAGGTTATTTTAGCTGTGATATCATGTTTAACTGAAGCAGATCAGTTCACGGGAACAATAAGACTATTATCGAATGTATTACAGTGCAATTTTTAATTACCATATCTGTATAAACAACAGCAATACAAGGCGCCACTCTTCTTTTCAAGCAAAGCAAGCAGCCTCGGGACTCATGTGCTTTAAGCTTTCCACACACCGAGGCAATCAGGAAACCATCGACTTAAAATGCTGAAGCTCTGAGGCAGTTGTCATCCTTTTGATGTGCAGGACTCTGCACAAGGATGAGCCTGTCACAGAGTCAGCCCTGATGCTTGGGTGAACCCAGGGATTGTTTATTGAAATCAGGTGTTTGGTAGCTTTTCAACCCTATCACATAATACAAAATAAAGCTTTGTGTGCAGTGCCTCCCTTGAGTCTCAGTTCTGAGTTGTTTTGAGTTCCACCTATGGCAGTGGCAAGAGAAGTTGTAGGGCTTAAATAAAACCTCATTAGGATGAGGCTGTCGCTGCTCTGCTATACAAAATTACTCTTCTCCCTCCTGCCCAGTTAAGCTTGCTTGGACAGTTTCTGGCTTTGTTCTTAGTTTGTTACAGATACTTTTATAAACTGTACATGGCATATTTTTATGTTTGCTATAAATGTCTTTTTGTGTATTTCCAGCAGAGAATACACTGTGAGTGGGACAGTTGCTGTTTTTCTGCTTGACTTGAAAAAGTTTGCTAATGGCATGAACTATTCCCCACTGGGGCTCTGGTCCTGCAAAGCCTTGTGAGTGCTCTTGGCTTTGAAAACTGAGACTTGTCCTATTGAATTCAGTGTATTTGGAGACTGTATCCTTACATATGAAGGCAAAGCCCATCATGATTGTGGCCAGAAGACCTAGCAGTCTGTTATGAGCAGAGCTGAATTTGTAGGATCCTAATGAGTGCATGAGATATCATCATGTTATAAAGTGTTGGTAACTGTATTTTAATAGGAAGGAACCTAAATTACAAAGGACAAATGATTGACTCTCTCAGTGGAGAATTTGGGATGATTACAGCTCCCTCCCTTTCCGAACTGCAGGGTTATTTGGAAGAGGTTGGGCTTGTGTATAAGTATGCGCTTGTCAAAGATAAAAGCATGGGCTATAGGTGATGGTGCAGTATGCACAAATCTGTGCATTGCACAGTTGCTTTCCCTTTCATACTAATGCTGGGGTTTTTCCTGCAGTTTGACAATAAACATTCAGTTAATGAGGAATGTCCTAGGAGTGCTCGTACTTTGTTTTCAAAGGCGGAGCCTCTCTCCACATTGCCTGCTTATTTTTCCTGCTAACACCGTCTCTATCTTGCTGTGGTCTACGTTGGCGTAGCTCTGACTGAATTCAGTGGGGTTGTACAAGGCCAAGAATCAGATTCCTTGCACGTTTGTGTATGAACATGAGCTGCTATCTCTGGCTGGCTGATAGAAAAGTCTGTTGTGCTGAGCACATCACCTCACAGCTATTAACAGGCCTTCCTCACTGGGGCTGTATCTCGTTGCCGTGGAAATCGGTCGTGTTCAGCTCTGTGCCCCTAATGGCACGCAAGCCCTATTTTCCTCCTCCGAACTACCAGGGGCAAAGGCAGATGAAGAACCATATAAATCAAGAAGAGGGAGTTAAGTTGTTTTCAGTGACTTCACGCTGGCAGTCACATCAGCCTGTGTTTTGTGGAGCAGGAGTGGATGTGAATGCATTCATGACTATGTGACCAGATGGTACTTTATACCCAGCAGTCACATAAGAAAGGCTAGTTAGGATGTATATCCCTTTTCCTCTCTTTTCCATGACATTTTTAACTATAATACTTGAGCAAGTTCTTCTTCATGGGGCTTTTTGCTTTTCATCCTCTCCCAGTTGTTTCCAAGCCACAAGAAATCATACACTCCTGTTATACACTGTTATCCACTGACATTCAAAGCTGGGTGACTCTTGTATAGACTCCTGAGCACTTTTATGAGGCTCAGGAGCCTGTTAAAAACTCCTCTTTCTCAAGAGAGTGAAATTCTTGGGTTTTAAGTCCCTTTTGGGAGAAGGGCAGCTTGTTGGATTCTGTTACCAAGGATGCATGGTTTTATTGTCTGAATTATCTTTTACCGTTACTGAACTTCTCTGTCACCAAATTCTCTGGTCAAAGGCTGTGATAGTCAGACTTCATGGAAGGGTTAATGCAGTCAGCTGTTTCTGAATTGGTAAAGTGACAGGAGTAAAGGTAGTTGTGATTATTCAGTCTTAACTGAGCTGCTTTTTTAAATAATTCTT